TTTATTTTGTTTGTGGGCATTGTAAATGAAATTACTTTCTTGATTTCTTTTTCAGATTATTCACTGTTGGCATATAGAAATGCCACTGATTTACATATATTGATTTTATGTCCTGAAACTTTACTGAATTTGTGGATCAGTTCTAATAGTTATTTTGGTAGAGTCTTTAGGTTTTTCCAAATATAAGATTATATAATTTGCAAACTAGCATAATTTAACTTCTCCCTTTCCAATTTAACTGCCCTTTGTTTCTTTCTCTTTTCTGATTGCTCTAGCTAGAACTTCCAATACTATGTTGAATAACAGTGGTAAAAGTGGGCATCCTTGTCATATTAGAGGAATGGTGTTCAGTTTTTCCCATTCAGTGTGATACTAACTTTGGGTGTGTCATATATGGCTTTTATTGTGTTGAGGTATGTTTCCTCTACACTCAGGTTTTTTAGGGTTTTTGTCATGAAGAGACTTTGAATTTTATTGAATGCTTTTTCAGCATCAATTGATATGATCATATATTTTTTTCCTTCATTCTGTTGATATGATGAATCACATTGATTGATTTGCATATGTTGAACAATCCTTGAATCCCTCGGATAAATCCCCCTTGGTCATGATGAATGATCTTTTTAATGTGTTGTTGATTTTGGTTTGCTATATTTTGTCAAGGATTTTTGCCTTAATGTTCATCAGAGATATTAGCCTGTAGTTTCCTTTTTCCGATGTGTATTTGTCTGGTTTTGGTGTAAAGGTAGTACAGGCCTTTTATTCCCTTCTCTTCTATGGTTTTTAGAATAGTTTGAGTAGGATTGGTATTAGTTCTTTAAATGTTTGGTAAAATTCAGCATTGATGCCATTGGGTCCTAGGCTTTTCTTTGCTAGGAGACTTTTTATTACAACTTCAGTCTCGTTACTTGTTACTGGTCTGTTCAGGTTCAGGATTTCTTCATGGAATAATCTTGGTAAGTTTTATGTGTTAGGAATGTATTCACTTCTTCCAGGTTTTCCACCTTATTGGCATGTAGTTGCTCATAGATGTTTCCAATGATCCTTTGAATTTCTGTAGCATCAGTTGTAATGTCTTTTTTCTTTAGCTCTGATTTTATTTGGGTTTTCTCTCTTTCCTTAGTTTGGCTAAAGGGTTGTCTATTTTCTTATCTTTTCAAAACCGAACTTTTCATTTCATTGATCTTTTATTTTTTAATTTTAAATTTCATTTATTTCTGCTATAATCTTTCTTTCTTCTACTAATTTTGGGTTTGGTTTGTTCTTGATTTTTCAATTCTTTAAGATGCATCCTTAGATGGTTTATTTGAAGTCTCACTCTTTTGATGTAGGCACTTATAGCTATAAAATTTTCTCTTAGTATTATTTTCACTGTATCTCATAGGTTTTGGTATGTTTTGTTTTCATTATCATTTGTTTCAATAAATTTTTAAATTTCCTTCTTACTTCATTGACCTACTGGTCATTCAGGGGCATATTGTTTTATTCCATGCATTTGTATAATATCCAGAGTTCCTCTTGTTATTGACTTATAGTTTTATTCCATTGTGGTCTAAGAAGGTAGTTGATATAATTTCAGTTTTTTGAATTTCATAAAAGTTGTTTTATGGCCTAATGTATGGTCTACACTTAAACATGGTCCATGTGCTGAGGAGAAGAATGTCTTTTTTGCAGTCATTGGATGAAAATTTCTACAAATATTATTAGGTTCACTTAATCTGTAGTGCAGATTAAGTTCAATGTTTCTTTGTTGATTTTCTGTCTGGATGTTGTGTCCAATGCTGAAAGTGTTACATTTTCCGTCTATTATTGTATTGGGGTCTATCTCTCTCTTTACCTCTAATAATGTTTGCTTTATATGTCTGAAGGCTCCAGTGCCTATATATTTATAATTGTTATATGTGCTTGCTGAATCAACCTTTATAAAATTATATAGTATCCTTCTTTGTCTCTTTTCATGGTTTTATCTTGATATCTCTTTTATCTGATGTAAGTATAGCTACTACTTCTTTTTTCTTGGTTTCCACTTCCATGGAATATTTTTTCTATCCCTTTATTTTCAGTCTGTGTTTTCATAGGCAGTGTGTTTCTTGGAGGCAACATGTTAAGTCTCTTTTTTTATCCATTCAGTCACTCTTTCTGTTTTGATTGGAAAGTTTAGTCCGTTTACATTCAATGTTGTCATTTCTAAGTAAGGACTTACTCCTGCCATTTTGTTATTTGTTTTCTGGTTGTTTTGTGATCTTCTCTTTCTTGTTTCCTTTCTTCTTGTCTTCCTTTTAGTGAAAATTATTTTCTCTGGTGGTGTGTTTTAATTTCTTGAATTTTATTTTTTGTGTATCTGTTTTAAGTTTTGTGATTTGAGGTTACTACAAGGCTTGCAAGTAACATCTTATAACCTATTATTTTAAACTGATGACAACTTAACTTTGATTGCAAAAAGAAACAAACAAGCAAAAAAGAACAGTAAAAAAATTCTACACTTTATCTCCCAGTTCACTAAGTTTTTGTTGTTTCTATTTATATCTTATTATATTGTCTAAGCTCACTTACTCTTTCTTCTGCATGATCAGTTCTTCTGTTAAGAGACTCTGAGGCATTCTTCAATATGTCAATTGCATTTTCAACTCCAGAATTTCTACTTTTTTATTTTTAATTCTTTCAATCTCTTTGCTAAATTTAGTTGATAGGATTCTGAATTTCTTCTCTGCGTTATCTTGAATGTCACTGAGCTTCCTCAAAACGGTTATTTTGATTTCCCTGTCTGAAAGGTCACATTTTTCTGTGTCTCCAGGATTAGTTGCTGGTGCCTTATTTGGTTCGTTGGGTGAAGATATGTTTTCCTGGATGGTCTTGATGCTTGTAACTTGTTCATCAATGTCTGGGTATTGAAGAGTTAAGTATTTATTCTAATCTTTGCAGTCTGAGCTTGTTTGTACCTATCCTTCTTGAGAAAGCTTTCCAAGTGTTCAAAGGGAATTGAGTGTTGTGATCTAAGTCTTTGGTCACTGCACCTGTGTCTGCATTAGGGGGCACTCCAAGCCCAGACATGCTGACTCTTGCAGCCTTGTAGAAATACCACCTTGGTGGTCTTAGGTAAGAGCCAGGAGAATTCCTTGGATTACCAGGCAGAGTCTCTGATTCTCTTCTCTTACTTTCCCATATACCAACAGAGGTTCTCTCTCTCCCTGTGCTAAGCTGCCTGGAGTTGGGGGAGGGGTGACACAAACACTGTCATGACCACCTCCACTGAAATTGTGCTGGATTATGCTTGAAACCAAACACAGCACTGGACCTCGTCCAAGACCTGTGATAACTATTGCCTGGTTACTGCTGATGTTTATTCAAGGCTCAAGAGCTCTTTAGTCAACAGGTGGTGAATTCTTCCAAGCCTATACCTTTCCCTTTAGGGCAGCAGGTTCCCTTCTGGCCCAGGTTGGGTCTAAGAATTCCGTCTGGGAACTGGGTCCTGGAATTGGGAATTGTAGGGATCTACTTACTCCCTTCCTAAAGCAGGAGTCTCACCTGTGGCCACCCCACCCCAGGCCTGTGAGAAGTACTGCCTGGCTACTGCTGATGTTTATTTTAGGCCCAAGGGCTTTTGAATTAGCAGGTGGTGAACCCTGCCTTCAGGGCAGTAGGTACTCATCTGACCCAGGGCATGTCTAGCAATGTTGTCCAGGAGCTAAGGCCTAGATGTGGAGATGTTAGGATTCTCCTTGGTGCTTAATTTTACTGCAGCTAAACTAGTACCCAAATTGCAAGACAAAGACTTTTTAACTCTTCTCTCTCCTCTCCTCAAGGAAAGAGTCTCTCCTGGAGCTGTGGGCTGCCCTGCCTGGAGTTGGGGGAGGGGCGACACAAGCACTCCTTTGGCTGCCCTGGCTGATGTCTCACCAGGTCATGTGCACTCCAGGAATTTTAGTTCATGTGGCCTAGATTGCCTTTCAAGTTTATTTAGAACCCCAGAGCTCTTTAGCCTGTGGTGGTTGGTCTAACTAGCACTCAGGTCCCTACTGCTAAGGTGGATGATTCCCTTCTAGCAAGGGCTGGTCTAAATGCTCCCTGCATGGGTGCCAGCTGAATTCTTCCATGTGTTGCTTTGCTCTGTGACTGCAGAGCACTGACTTCCAGTGCAAAGTCTATAGCCTCTGTGCTCTGCCTCCCCTAAGCACACAGATTGTCTCTCTGCACCACATGGTAATTGAAGACTGTCATTCCTACCTTCTCAGTGCCACTTTCCTCGGTATGATGTTAAAACCAGGAATGGTGATTGCTCACCAGATTTTTGTTGTTGTTGTTGTTCTTTTGAAGGTGTTTTCTTGTGGATAGCTGTTAATTTGGTATTCCTGTGGGGGGCACAATCACTTCAGGGTTCTCTTCTGCCATCTGGCTCCACCTCCCTATAGCATTGCTGCTTTTAAAAAATCTTTCTCTGTGGTTATAATCTGCAGTCCTGTGGATGAACTACTGAGGTAGAGGATGAAGTATGTACAAAAAGATCAGTGACCGAGACTATCATAAAACATTAGAGGAAAACACACTAAAATGGTACATTTTGTGTAGATGGAGAGGAGCCTTACCCTATTCTGCCACCATTTCTGCCAGCAACGGAGGTGTTCTCCCAGCTTCTCCACTCCAGCCTCCAGAAATCCCACTCCTCATGTTGGACCCTGGCCACCTACTAGTACTCTTCCAGATACTGTTACCTCTAGTCTGACCTTGGAAAACTCCTGTGACTCCCTGAGCCTATAATGGGTGGAAGGTCAAGAAAGGCCCTGATAGTAGGGTCAGGACTTCAAGAAGAAAGATGTTCTCACCAACACAAAGGACGTGACCACAGTGCAGCTAGTATTGCGCTATCCTAGGAGCTATAACAATAGCTTTGGGATAGTGAGGACCGGGCACTGTGTTAGTAAATAGTCTGGCTTTCATTTTCTGGTCAACTAGGCTTTCACCAATAATTTTGTCACCTCTTTACCTTGGTAATCTTTCTCTAGGACTTGGAGAACTTCATTGCCAAGTTTGGGGACTCTGGTTTTGTCCTCGTGACCTTGGGCTCCATGGTGAACACCTGTCAGAATCCGGAAATCTTCAAGGAGATGAACAATGCCTTTGCCTACCTACCCCAAGGGGTGATATGGAAGTGCCAGTGTTCTCATTGGCCCAAAGATGTCCACCTGGCTGCAAATGTGAAAATTGTGGACTGGCTTCCTCAGAGTGACCTCCTGGGTAAGGGCTGCCCAGGACTGCTCTTCTCCTTCCACTGACCTGTCTTTGGGGCTCATCTGGGCTCTGACCTTTAGCTGGACATTTGTACCCACTGTTGAATGGCACAGGTGAGGCTCAGTGGACAGAAAAGTAGCAGCCAGTTGGAGTTCTTGGGAAACAAGGCTATACTTCCAATGGGATCAGATGTCAAAGCAGCCATCTTTCCTTCATTGTTTTCTATCCCAGACCTGTTGTCTGCAGTCCTATGTGATATTCCTCTCAAGTCTCTTTAACCCTACTGCATTTGGTCTTGGACAAGGTCACCCAAACAAAATTAAAGACAACCCATCAACTCTGAATGTATATACCAGGGATTGGGAGAGTTGCCACTCGCTTTAGTGACTTTGTGAGCACCAGTTTGGCCACAGGGACTTACACAAACACACATCCACACATAAATGTGGACACATCCTCTTCATTTACTAAGGGTCTGAGCAATTTCTACCATCACAAGATTAATGCCAATGATGTCTTTAGGATGTGCCAACATACCTGTGTGCTAGGCTTAGCAACTTCACAGTTGGTGATTTGGTCTACTGAATCATCTGGGACTAGAGAGCTCCCTCACCCCCAACAGGTTTTCTCCATGCCAAGTGTTGCCGTAGACACTGACTAGAGCAGAGATTCATAACCAAGATTATGGCTCAAAAGAATCTGGGCAATTTAAGAAGTAGATTCCTGGTCCTACTTCTGTAAATATATATTTTAAAATTCTGGGGCCGGGCATATGCCTCCCATTTCAAAGAAGAGACAAGGAGTCTGATGCACATTGCAGTTGAGTGACCCAGGTTGAGATGTGCTTGTCATTATCAACAATCACTTTAGTTAGCTCTAAGTAATGCTGGCATGGAAAGACAGGAACTGGAAATACAGAGGTGAAAGATCCAGTCTACTTTCAAGGGGCTTCTCATATAATTGAGGACACCATACAGCCAATACAAGTTTTATGAGTGACACATGAGTTGTGCTGTCAACAAATATGTCAGAAATACAAGAAAAGGGAAATTAGCTGTCAGTGGATAAAAGAGGGCTCAATATAGACAGACAGAGGAGGTAGAAACAGAGAGACACACAGAATACAGATGAGAGAAGCAAAGAGAGGCACAGGGAGGACAGAGAGAAGGAAGAATGGATGGACAGATAGAGATGGATGCCTTGCTTAACACTCTTCTCTACAGAAGTCACTCAATTCTAAGCCTTAGCTGAGTTTCTGGCTGAGGGAAGATGTTTCCATTTGATAACAATGCTTGGAATCTTGTATCTTGGCACTGTAACCTTGGATGTGTCCCAAGCACAGTCATTAGATACAATGTCTCCAACACACCGCTAGATCCACTTGGCACTTTCTTATCCCCTTCATCTTTGCCTGATATCTTGAATTTTTCATCCTGAAGTGTCCCACCCTCTTTCTTATTTACAACAGCTCACCCCAGCATCCGTCTGTTTGTCACCCATGGCGGGCAGAATAGCATAATGGAGGCCATTCAGCATGGTGTGCCCATGGTGGGGATCCCTCTCTTTGGAGACCAGCCTGAAAACATGGTCCGAGTAGAAGCCAAAAACTTTGGTGTCTCTATTCAGTTAAAGAAGCTCAAGGCAGAGACATTGGCTCTTAAGATGAAACAAATCATGGAAGACAAGAGGTATGCAGCTCTCTGGGGTTGTGGTCGTAATGATGAACGAAGGCAAAAACACTAAGGGTACTGTGGGAGTCTGTTTCCTTGGTTTTGCTTTGTTTTACTTTAGATTAAAACTGTATTTTCTGGGACATGGGATAATATGTGCGTGATGCCAACAGCTGACCTGTGTCCTCTGAGAGCAAGACTAGAGCATTTAAGTTAGATGTTAAGAATCATTTCCTACCTTTTCATTTTGGAGAACCTGGACTATGTGCACAGGGTCTCTGTGAGCTGTATTTCAGGTCAATTGGAATTCAGGTCAGCGGGATTCCAATTGAGGCAGGAGATTGCCTTTCCGTTCCCCAAATACTCCACACTCTTCTCCCCCTTGGCCTTTTGTTTGTGGTGCTGCCTCTTCACATACTGGCTCCTTCGTCACATTCCGGTCTCATCTCCAACCCGTTTCTTCTTAGAGTTCACCTCCGACAGTCCTAAGTAACCTCTTCTCTCACCCACCCCCATTATATCATTTCCTTCTTAACACTTTTTAAGGTCTGCAATTACCTCAGTTATTTACGTGTTTGTTTACAGAGTCTCTTTATGTTGCCCAGGCTGGTCTCAAACTCCTGGGCTCAAATGATCTTCCCGCTTCAGCCTCCTGAGTAGCTGGGATCACATAAGCCACCATACCTGGCTTATGTTTTCATTTATTATTTGTCCCCCTCACCTTCCAACCAGAGACTGGAGAGTTAGCTTAATGAGGACAGCAGCATGTGTCTCTTGTTTTCTGCTGTCTTCTTAGTGCCTAGCACATGGTGTGCCACAAAGTAAATGGTTAATGAGTTTTAGTTAAGTGAGGCAATAGAAGGGGCCCAGTGACCTCCAAGGTAACTAACTACATATCCAGCACAGTGATCTCATGTGAAGAGAAAAATACACCTCATGTAATAAGTGAAAGGCACTGAATAATTTATTGGAGTTTCAAGGGCACAAACCAAAATCAGACCTCAAGGCTTAACATGTATTAGGAGACACTCAGCAATTCTCGCTAGATGACTTAAAACAACCACATAGCTCGTGGTTCTTAGCCCTAAAAGAGTCATTAAATTCCATGGGTTGGTTAACTTCAGATCAGTTGTATATATTTGCAATTTCATGTATTGCCGATGGTCATTTTCTGAAAAATGTGTTTGTAACTTTCACTGGATTTTCAATGACCTAGACCCAAAATGACCATTCTGAGCTAGGATGGTCCTCAGACATTGTACATAACTAGGGCCAGCTTCACAATTTGTAGGACATGGTGTAAAGTAAAAATGTGGAGCCTCCTGTTATAAAGTTTGAGAACTTCGACATGGTGAAACCAAGTACAGGATGCTACTAAGTATGTGGTACAAATATGCAGCCTGTAGCCCAGGAAGTCAGCCCTGGTCAACATGACGTTCTGATGGTGCAGGAATGTGTAGGCTTTAGCTTGTGCCTGACTTTCCCTACAGTGAGATTTGTCACCCCATCTAGAGACTGGCACAATGGAGGTGCTACATGTATATATATAAAAATTACATCATATATAATTTTCCTAGGGTACATCATAAACCTCCTTGGAGTAGGCACTAGTCTTTGTGGACTTAGTCACTTTTTTGAAGTTTAAGACTTTCAGCATTATGCATAGATCTTTGCATGTAGGTGTCATGATTAAATTTCAAGGGGACCCAGATAAATTACGGCAAAGCCAACAAAATTTCCTTGAAACTTAGTCTTTCGTGCATCATATAGAACGGATCACACATTCTAACTCTTGTGAGGTCACATTAGTAATGCCTGCTCTCTGTCTCTCTCAACAGGTACAAGTCTGCAGCAGTGGCTGCCAGCATCATCCTGTGCTCCCACCCGCTCAGCCCCACACAGCGGCTGGTGGGCTGGATTGACCACATCCTCCAGACAGGGGGGGGCGACTCACCTCAAGCCCTATGTCTTCCAGCAGCCCTGGCATGAGCAGTACCTGCTTGATGTTTTTGTGTTTCTGCTGGGGCTCACTCTGGGCACTCTATGGCTTTGTGGGAAGCTGCTGGGTATAGCTGTCTGGTGGCTGTGTGGGGCTAGAAAGGTGAAGGAGACATAAGGCCAGATGTGGCCTTGGCGGAGTCTGTTTGGTGGGTGATGTCACCATTTCTCGGGGGCTTCCCACTAGTTCTGGCAACCCTGTTCTCCAGTCCTTCTAGTTATCTCCTGTTTTCTTGAAGAACAGGAAAAATCACCAAAAATCATCCTCTCCACTTGCTAATTTTGCTACAAACTCATCCTTACTAGCTCCTGCCTGTTAGCAGAATTCTTTTCGGTCTTCTTGCCCTCCTTTGTTTGCCATCAGCAAGGGCTGTGCTGTGATTCTGTCTCTAAGTGACTTGGACCACTGACCCTCAGATTTCCAGCCTTAAAATCCACCTTCCTTCTCATGCGCCTCTCTGAATCACAGCCTGACCATTCCAGACTCCCTGTCCAGATCTTCTCAGCCTCTTTCAGTCACCATCTGTCACGGAATAACACCGAGAAAGACATCTTGCATGTTCTTTCCGTTTCTGTTCTGTTCTCCCGCATATTCTCTTCAATGCTCAGAAACCCTGTCCTGTGCTTGAGAGTTCAGGGCCAGACACACGCTTGCAGGTCTCCACATTGGGTCCCTGTCTCTGGTGCCCACAGAGAGCTCCTTTGCTGATCAGGCATGGAGACTGTAGGTTTCCAGATTTCCTGAAAAGTAAAAGTTCACAGAATTATCTCCTTGCGGCCTCACTAAACATTTGACCAAGAGATTACTGTTCTAGTTGCCCAGAATTCTGTCATCTGGCTACTCAAGGCTATCGGGGAATGAGGCACGTCTGCGCACTGGCACTGGCCAGGATGAAGGCAGCGGGAAGTGAGTGGAGGGTTAGCCAACCTGTAGGGTCTGAAGAATGGGAAAAGTGGCCCCAAATCCTCCAGAATGCTTGACCTGTTGAACCAGATTGTTTTGCTATTTAGTCTTGACCTATATTCATGCAAGTAAGCAGCAAGCAATCATGGGCGGGCTGATAAAGAAACACTTCTGTTTCCTGGTTACAGTCTCTGGCTGGACTTACGGAATCACTGAATTGGCTTCAATGACTTTCTAAGTGTGATAGGGATGCCGAGGTAGGCAGCCAGAGCAGATGATTTCAATCATGGAGCCTCAGGTCCATGTAGATAAGAAGGGGGAATGCAGCTGTAGCTGTGGTTCCAAGGACAGGACTGTGTGTTGTTCTTTGAGGGACCATTACCACAAACCAATGGGCACTAAACCTTAGGTAATATAAGAAGAGTAAAAGACACCCTATTTAGTGTTCTGTAGAAAATGTGATTTGCAAATTGACTCTTTTCAGCCAGTGTGGCTCTGAAGTCCTTAGTGCAAAGGATTTTTTTTTTTTTAGATGGAGTTTCGCTCTTGTCCAGGCTGGAGTAGAGTGCAAAGGCATGATCTCGGCTCACCGCAACCTCTGCCTCTGGGTGTCAAGCTATTCTCCTGCCTCAGCCTCCCGAGTAGCTGGGATTATAAGCATGCACCACCACCCCCAGCTAATTTTGTGGTTTTAGTAGAGACGGGGTTTCTCCATGTTGGTCAGGCTGGTCTCAAACTTCCTACCTCTGGTGATCCGCTTGCCTCGACCTCCCAAAGTACTGGGACTACAGACGTGAGCCACCGTAACTGGCTGGTGCAAAGGATTTTGTACTAATGAGTAGGAGGTATATATCCATATAAAAATGTCCCCACATGTATGGGAGAATGGAGGCTTTAAGCTTACTAATAGGGGCTAGAATTAATCTTAGCATTCATGTTTACTGTTTCCATGTGAAGCCTTCCCACTCTTCGCTAACCTCTTCCCTTTTGACTGACATTAAGGTTTAGAAAATGTGTAGGTTGGTATCAGGATGGAGGAAGGAGCACACCATGGGGACTTTTCCCTTCTGGGGCCTCCACAATCTGCATGTAATGAAATGTTGCATGTGTGATAAACAAGAAGAGCACATAACACCCAAAGAACCCATAACTTCCCAAGAGATGAAACTCCAGATTGCAGCGGAGCTCCCTCCTGAAATCCTGCTACCAGCTTTTATGGGCACTAATGAGTCTGTAAATATTGTGCTTGTGAAGCAGGCTCAATGTGTACTGGTTCCCAGTTTTTCTGAGTATAGTGAGACAGATCATCTCTCCACACACGAGTTAGATGAAGTGCACCTGTTATTATAGATCGGCAGCAAGGGACAACAGAAGTCCAGGATTCATTGCCAGCTGATCCCCCAAGGCTCAGGGACTTCCCCAGGGTGGACAGCATCTCATCTGCCTGTGCCCCACTTGCACCACAGCTGAGGCTCACAGGGAAGCAGCCCACCCTGGTTTTATACCTCAGAGACAGCATGACATACTGGGCTACAGTGCGGAAAGACCTCCTGTTTTGGGGGGACTGGAACAGAGCCCTGTCTGTTTCAGCCAGACCCTCCCTATATCCAGATGTAGCTGATCCAGCACATTCTGCATTATTCTTGTGACCTGCAAACCGTAGCTACAATACTTTTCACCATGCCCGAGGGGACTATACCACAAGGAGGACGAGCAGGCCTGCATGGGCAGTAACCTAGCCTGGGATCCTGGCATCAAGGTTAGAAATTGCTAAAGGGCTCAAAGAAGATTCTTTCAGTGGCCCCACTGTCTGCAATCAGATCTTCTCTATCTGCGTTTCAGCAGTACCTGAGTTGTTTATCCAGGTATAGCAGGAGTTATTGGCAGTTGCATACACTCTTCCCAGTTGGGCTAAAAGGTGGTCTAGAGCGATTCTGTTGTCTACAATAATCTTCCCAAGAGAGTTGAAGGATGTCTGCTGGGCTACCAAAGCAGTGGCAGGAAAGGAAGCAACATCTGCCATGGTCAGGGACAGGCTTATGATCATTTATTTAGGAGTGCTGACTCCTATGCATGCTATTATAGATCTCATAATGTAAACCCAGAGTCACTTATACCTTCTGATATACCTCTAGTTGGCCAGGTGTACAGCTTTAGTCTGCTGGCCCAGTGATGAATCTCATTCCCAGGAGTTGTATATAGGGGCACCCCCAGCATGCAGGACCCCACCATCCACTAGATTTCCAGGCACAGACGTTGCTCATCCCATTCTTGGGTCACCTTCAGACTGCCCATAAAGAAATATGTAGCTCTCAGGTGTACATAGCACCCTTTATCCCGTTTTATTGTTCAGTGGCCTACTCATGGGTATGGAGGCACAGCCATTTGCAGCTAAGTCATAGTTGCATGAGCTCAGTTTCACCCCTACACTATTGTTTATCAGGTCCCTTCAGAAAGGGCTAGCATTATTGCAGTCCTTGTTTTCATCTTTGCCACTGGGACACTTATCTTTTGTGTAATCAAATAAAAGTAGTGTATCAGGCCGGGCACAGTGGCTCATGCCTGTAATCTCAGCGCTTTGGGAGGCTGAGGTGTGTGGATCACCAGAGGTCAGGAGTTCAAAACCAGCCTGGCCAACATGGCGAAACCCTATCTCTACTAAAAATACAGGTGGGCGCCTGTAATCCCAGCTACTTGGGAGGCTTATGCAGGAGAATTGCCTGAACCCAGGAGGCAGAGGTTGCAGTGAGTTGAGATCATGTCACTGCACTCTAGCCTGGGTGCAGTGGCATGATTTTAGACTCTGTCTTAAAAAAAAAAAAGAAAAAGAAAAAAAGAAAGTAGTGTGTTAAATTGTTAGCCCACCAAGGTTTTACTAATTGTGGTCATGACATTTTGCCACCTTAGGTCAATTAAGCTGAAACAGGACACCTCTGGTTCCTTTTCATGGCAGGATGAGAGGGCCACTGTGGTCTGCAACAGAATAAGGTACAGGGTGGCTGATCCAACAGTTCATCAGTTGACCCATTGTATTAGGCCATTCCTGCATCACTATGAAGGAATACCTGAGACTGGGTAACTTACAAGAAAAAAATGTAATTGGCTTATGATTCTGCAGGTTTCACAGGAAACATGGCATCAACATCTGCTTCTGGGGAGGCCTCAGGAAATTTTCACTCAGGGCAGAAGTTGAAGCGGGAGCAGACACTTCACATGGCAAAAGCAGGAGTGAGAGGGTGGAGGGAGGTGCCACACTTGACAACAACCAGATCTTGTGAGAACTCAGTAACTATCGTGAGGCCAGCACCAAGCCTTGAGGGATCTTCCCCCAACACCCAAACACTTCCCACTGGGTGGCACCTCCAACACTGGGGATTGCATTTCAACATAAGATTTGGTGGGGACACAGATCCAACCCATATCACCCATGGTGACCACAGCTTGGGAGGACCTAAAGAAGGCATTGTGCTTCCAGGCCTCTGCTGCCATGTCCTTGTGGAGAAAATAGAATGACAGGTTGGTGCCCCACCCCCACCCCTTCTGGAGTATCTCATGTTCCCTACCTATTGGATAGGAGTTGGTCTCAGTTGGTGTAGCACCCAGTCCAGAGGCTACTATCTCTTTGGCACCCACTGCCCTTGTTGCTTAACCTAGACCTGTCAGCCTCTGTTTTCCAGTCCAGAAAGGGAGGAAACACACTGTAAAAACTTGACATGTCTGAAAACACCACTCACCTGACTGGAAAGATCAGATGTCCCTGGAGCCAATAGAGGGACCTGTGCACGATAGTATTCCTTGGTCCTATCCATTACTCTATGAGACTCCATATAGGGGAGTTAACAGCGGAAACATCAGCTCCAGGTTAGATTTCGTAAGCCCTGTCTGGGGTACTATGGAGGCCCAAACCACAATCCACCCCTGGGAGGTGCATTCTAAAGGGAGAAAGGAAAAAGAATGGTTGAGAATATTGTGACTGGGATTTCACAGATGCAACCTAATCAAGCAGCTGCCTGATCCACCTCTACCCTCACCAAGCCCAGTGTCTCCCGACATGCACTCAGGTCTGTGCTTCCCTGGCCCTGGAGAGCAGTGTTTGGTGTCCTTACTGCCCTACTCGGATAGGGGTGCTATCCCACTATCAGACTGTTCCTTGGTCAGAGTGTATATCCAAAAAGATGATATAAATTCTTTTCATGGGTGGCCATGGTAGTCCCAGCATCCACACAAGTGACAGATATTTCTCCCTTTTAGGCAGTGAGCTGGTTATACTCTTTGTTCCTATGCAGAAGTCCTTTAATAGTTCAGTCACTCGGTTGCCATTTTCCTGACCTGATAGTGAACAGCCCGTCGGTCAAAAAGTATGTATTAAGATATGGTAGCAGGGGTGACTGGCATGGCCATCACCATTGTGTGAGGTTGGCCTGGGCAGAACATCTATGTCCTATATAAGTGAAGAGATGGCCATTCACTGGCTGGCCATCTGTAAATTACATCTGGGAAACCACAAGAGACCCCATCTGCTTGTAGTTTTCCAGAGCCATCTGTAAACCAAGAAATGCCAAGTGGCCTTGGCATTCAGCCTGCAACAGTCCACTGTTAGTCTTCATGCCCTGAGGCCTTTTTGACCAGTCAAATTGGGCTGTTAAATTGCAATAGAATGTTTTGTATCGAATCCAGAATTAACAAAGCAATGTGCAATTCTGCAGTCACTATGCAGTACGGCTTTTGTTGAATAACCCACTGGGACTTGGGTAGCTTAGGTGACAGGCAGGAGTGGATATGTCCCATTGTTATGGCTTAAATTCTTGGCTGTGAGGGGCAGAGCCTCTCAGGCAGCAGTGATGTTCTGTACCAGAGCAGCCAACATGTCAATGCCTGTAACA